CACAGCTTAGCAGTCATCTCCCCTGGAAGTCTTCCTTGATCACCCCTAAAACTAAAAACACTGTTTTAGACCTGGTTGGCTAGAGACGCAAAATCCAGAGACACTCATATATGTATCAGAAAGAGCTTTATATCCAAGAGTAATTGTATATTATGAAAACATCCCAGCCAAGTCCAGACCAAGTTCATAAGTCTGACATTAGCTCATAAGTCCAATTCTAGTCCCTAAATCTCTCTTCAGACTCATGTAGCCACATGCAATGATGGAAGACACAGGTCGGTGATAAATAGTCTTGTGGCTCCAGTGGCAGTGGAAGCATCACAGGGCTGGCACAGGTCTCTGCTGCTTGGCTCGCTCAGGTCTCAGTGGGACTCCACATGGGCTTGTTAACAGCAAAGTGAAGCAGAGAACAGAGAGTACCCCACCTCTAGGGAGAAAGAAAGGAGATTCCCAGAATTCTCCTGAGAAGGCCATGCCCCCAAGGAGGCATCATCTGACTTAGACCTGATTGACAGGCTAACCTTCACCCTTACACTTATTTATGAAGTTAACATGAAATTGTGTAACTAACACACCACACCCCTTGTTTTAATTCAAAGCTACTGACTTAATATTTATAGCTACCTTACAGGGCAGATAGAGCTGTCCCATAAGGTTTCTTGTTGGATAAGCATTGGACTGCTAAGCCTCAAGGTTATGGGTTCAAAACCATCAGCCGATCCATAGGAGAACGTTAAGGCTTCCTGCTTCCATACAGATTGACAGCTTCGGAAACCTTTTATAGATAGAACGGCTCTGAGTTGATGTCAAGAAGACCAAAAGCTTAATAACTGGACCAGTAGGAGAAGAGATGGAAGTTGTCAAGGATTTCGTCTGGTTGGGAGCCACAATCAGGATTCATGAAAGCAGCAATCAGACGAAGCGCTGCATTGGCTAAATCTGCACAAGACCTCTTCAAAGTGTCGACAAGCAAGGATGTTACTTTGAGGAAGAAGGTGTGCCTGCCCCGAGCCATGGTATTTTTCCTTACCTCCTATACCTGTGAAAGTTGACTGAATAAGGAAGACTGGAGACGAACTGGAGCAATTGAATTACCGTGCTGGGGAAGACTATTAGAAGTCCCGTGGACTGCCAAAAGAACAAACAAATGTGTTTTGGAAGCAGTATTGTGCAAATGCTCCTGAGAGGCAAGGATGGTGGGACATCATCGTAGGTGTTTGGGACATGTTATCAGGAGAGACCAGCTCCTGGGGAAGAATATCATGCTTGTTAAAGTTGAATGAAAACGAGGGAGACTTTTAACAAGATTGATTGATAGAGATGCTGCAAACTGGGCTCAAACCAGAACCAGGACCAGGCAGGGTTGCCTTGTGTTGTACAGCGGGTCGCTGGGATTTGGAACCAACTCAATGGCTCTCAACAGTGAGTCAGAATCCACTCGATGGCAGTGGGTTTGGATTCTTTACTGAACTGATGGGTTCAAATTGCTGACATTTTGGTTAGCAACCAAGCACTTAACCACTATGCTACCAAGGCTCCTAGTGTCGCTTCAATGCCACTTCCTCTATGCCCCATGCTGCCACCATCATTGCAACATTTATCCCATGGTGTTGCGTTTACAGACTCACTTGCAGTTGACTCCACTGTGTACGAAAATGATTCGCTGAATGAAACAATGAATGAATGGGATGAATACTCACATATATAAATGTCAAAGCACCTCCTAATTCCTTTATTCCTAAGTCATTGGCATTTTACTAAATTATATTTTCTTAGATAGCAGATGCACCACCTGGATCATTTGGCCAATTGTATGACTATTTAAAGTTAGGGGAAAGCCATTTATTTCACCTTGTTTTCCACTTAGTATTGCTGTTCCAGAGCTCTGCAGACAGCTGGGTAAGGACCCACTGTATGGTTCTGCTGGGCCTACTGTTTGCTCCTGACCCTTCATAGCATTTCCTCTCAGCTTGTGTCTGGTGTGTTATCTTACTAAATGTTGACTTCTCCCCAACCCCTTGCAGGTAGCCTTTCCATTCGTAACCTTTGCCCCTACCCCAAGGATCCTCTCTCTGGCCATTGTGAGACTGGAGCTTTGTCCTGCGCAGATCAGCAAGATAACACGAGAACTGTCGTTATAAGGAGAGAAAAGATGGGGACTTTGGTTTCTTCCTCTGATCATTTGAGACCGCTTACTCAACATGGAGTACTTTTATAAATTACAAAGAGAGAGAGTGACTTCACTAATCGGGGCTTCTTAGTCAAGCTCTGACCTCATATAACTTTCTAGAAAAAACCTGTCTGATAATGAGCCTTAACCTACGGTGCGCTTGCTCTGCGGCAGCACAACGGAGGCGTTGTGTGGGGACCCTTGTTGATGAAGCCCCTGTCCCCATTACTCCCCGCCATTGGGCCAATTCCAACTCATGGTGGCTCTATAGGACTTAGTAGAACTGCCCTTTGGGGTTTCCATGACCGTCAGTCTTTACAGGAGTAGAAAGCCTCCGTGTTGTTTGTCCCCGTTGCAGCCTGAAATGACACCCCTTTATCCATTTAGACTCATCGTTAATCCAGGCTATATTATCCCCCTTTCCCTAGTGCCACCTCAGTTTCTCTCCAACTTTTAATACACACGTGTTTCTTTTTTTTTTTTTTTTTTTT